GAGAGGGTGGAACAGTTCAGCCGTGGAGTTAAGGTCTAGCAGGTGCTGTAGTGATTCAATATCCAGCTGTGAATCGGTAGCTGTATGTAATTGTCTCTCCTCATTCAATGTAAAACTGCTTTCTGCTTTGTTTTTTTTTTTTATGTTTGTACATTAAAAGATTGACAACCAAACAGCTCATTTGAAGGTGATCATTCTTGCCCTCCAACGATATGCCTACCTCTATTCTTCGAGCACTTTGCTCTCTGCTTGCAGCCTTGCTGCTCACACCGACCCTGTAAAGTGGATGTTCCTCTGACTTTACAGATGAGACTGTTAGGTAACTGGGTCCAATACAAGGAGTGGCTGGCCCAGGAGCCACAGCACTGTCTGTCTGGCTCTAGAGCCCAGGCTCTTCAGAAGGGACAAGCTTGTCCTTGGAGCACACCTACCTGCTGTGCTGCCTGTCTGTGCCAGCCGCCTGTCTGTGCCAGCCTCCGGTCTGTGCCAGCCTCCGGTCTGTACCAGCCGCCTGTCTGTACCAGCCGCCTGTGATAATTGCACGTTTTTCATCGTACCCTGGCCTCTCCTCCAGCTCCCTTCTCCTTTTGTGCCACAAAAAAGGTACATCTTAGAGTTGGCAGAATATAACCTGTTGCTCACTAGAGAAATCAATCTTCCAGGGCATGTCCAACAGATTTCCATCCCGCCTGTGTTTGGATTGTTTACCACTTTATGCAGCTAACTGTCCATTTTCTTGTGTAATTTTTTCCAGCTTTATTGAAATATAACAGCCATAATTTTTTGACTTCCATTTTGTTGGGGAACAATGCAAACTAAGAGAAAGTGGGAAGGGGGTTGAGTCTTTTAAAACAAAAACAATTTAAAAATCTTTAACTTAAGTATATGATTCCAGAAGTCCAGTCCAGTTAGGAAAGAAGGGCCATGTAATGAAGTAGGTCTTCTCACTCCAGAATCCCAGAGGCCACCACTCTGGGCAGGCTCTGGTCTCTCCTGGCAGAGGCAGCCTGTATCTGCACAAGCAGGTGTGTATGTGTGCACACACCGGCCCCTCCATGATCATACAAATGCGATCACACATGAGCTGTGCTGTTCTGCACCTCACTGCTTTGAATCAACAATCTACTTTAGAAATTGCTCCATATTGGCATGTACTAGTGATTAAAATAGCAATTGCTAACACAGAGTGTTTACCACATACCAGGTACTCTACTGAGTTCTTTACATTTGTTAATTCCTCTCATCTCCACAGCCACCATGAGGTCGGTGCACTTTTTCTCCCCAAGGAACAGAGGTTAAGTCCAGTGCCCAGATCTATGCAGCTCATGCGACAGTGAACCTGGGCATTTTTCTCCCCAAGGAACAGAGGTTAAGTCCAGTGCCCAGATCTATGCAGCTCATGCGACAGTGAACCTGGGCATTCTGTCTCTACAGTCTGTACTTCTAGTTACTGTGCTGGAATCCTTCCCAGTTACACCTTTCATTGCCCCAGATGTGCCATCTGGCTGTACAGAAAGCTGAGAAAACCAGTGTTTTGGTTTTTCAGGCAGGCAAGAGAAGGATTGGGAATGGGTTTGGGGTGAACCATGTCTGCCACAGGCAGGAAGCCTAGTGTCTCCTCTGAGAAGATAGTCTCCTTGCATTGTGCCCTGCTGTCTTGTAGCTACACCTGTGGTCTGAGTAGTTAAATGCGAGCAGGTGTCTTAGGAGAATTATCTTGCTTTCAGTCATTAATAGTGTCTGAAAATTCTGTACTATACGGTTGGCACTCCCTAGGAATGTACAACTAGTTGAAATAAAAATCCAATTGGAGCCACTTTGTTTTAAGTGACAAATCTAGCTTGAGCCAGTTTAAGCAAAAAAAGGAATTTTATTGGCTTACACAACAAATCATGGAAAAAACCTGCTTGGGAGGCAATGAGATGTGCGCCTTGGGGAGTTACTCAGTCTCCGTGTCCCGAGCTGTGCAATGGGAATCCCGGCGGCACCTCACAGGGTTGGTGCAGATGAAATGAGGTATTATATGTCAACAATAAGGAGAGTCCCTGGCACTTCGAAGGCACTCAGAAGTAATAACATCATCACTGCAGGGACAGTGGTATTCTGAGGTTTAAGCCCCATCAGGTGGCAGCTGACATCTCCAGATTGACATCCTCCCAGCTTGAAATAAAGGTTTCTTCCCTCTGGTTCTAATTTGGAAAATCCAAGAGAAAGATTCTCAGTGGTTTATTGTGAGTCCCATGCCCTCTTTGATCCCTCACTGTGGTCAAGGGTGTACAGCACTATAATAAATCTGATGTGGGTCATGCATGACCTTTCCTTCATCGCTTCATGGTGGAGAAATAGCATAGCCCACTAACAAAACAAGGTGCTGAAAAGACCAAAACACCAACTACAGCAAAACCAGTCTGGATGGACTGGTACTGTTTGAAAGTGTGTTGATGGCTGTAAGTGTGTGGACTGGGAAAGGCCAGCTGCACTCTGCCTCCATGGAGGCTCTCCCCCAGGGACCACCTGTCATCAGACAATTACCTTCACCAGACCAGAGAAGGAAGTATCTTGTCTTCTCAATCTCCCAGTAGAGCGGGCAGATGGGAGAGCCCTTGGTTGGGACTCTTTCCAGTTGGCTTAGGGCAGGGGGAATTAATGCCTCATTAGCTTATAAGGTCAGGATTAGATTGGGTGTCAGGCTGGATCCTAGAACTCACAACAGTATCGTCAGGGACCTGTCTCTCTTCAGCTCTGTGCTGCTTTCCTTTGGATTGACTTCCTCCTCAGGCTTCCTGAGTGACCCCATAGCTCGTTACTGGTAGAAAGAGCTCCTCTTCCCTGACAAAACCCTTGGACCTGGCTGTCATTGGTCCCAAATGTCAGGGCCAGCCTGACAGGGTTGAGCCGGGCTGAGGCAGGGAGGTGGGAATTGAGAAAAGAAAGAAAGACAGGAAAGCGGGGTCGGGAGGACCCCAGTTCTCTTGATGAACTGAAGCGAGTTTATTAGCTCTACAATCCTATTTATACACAACACACCGAATCAGAGGTCTATCAGAGGAATGTAACAGCATATCTCAGTAAATAGGTACAGACTTCTTGGCAATCTATGAAAGGCTGTTTTCATTCTACAAATGTTACTCCCATTCTACTGATAATCACTATCCAAACAAGTCTGGGAAAACTGTGTGGGTAAGGGTCCCGGCCTTGCTAGCCCCTACAGGTGCAAGGACCTTGCCAGCTTACATTTGGCCCCCAACACCCAAACAGGGAGGTATCCAGTCTCAAGGAATCATTGTGGCCAGGAAGATAGAATACACTGATCGGGTAGGCCTGGGGCACATCCCCATGTGGACTGAGAGTTGGGGCTGGTAGTGGTATTGAGGGGGCGGGGTGCAAGAATGGGTGCCAAACAGGAAAAATCATCAGATGTCCAGGTCAAGCCTTTTTCCTTTTCTCTGGATAGCTTCACTTTTCTCTTTCTCCCTGCCTACCCTTACCTCTGCCCAATCTCAGCACTCTTGGTCTTGGGGGTTAGGGGTATCTACTGAGTGGTGCCTGGGCCTAGATTAGGGGGCACAGAGAGGATGTAGCTTGTCCAAAGTAGAATATTCAATGAAGAGTCTTTTGGAGGATGCTCCTGTGCTTGGAACTGCTTCTTTATGGACCTGTAGTACCTATGGCAGGGTCCTTGTCAAGGTCTAGGTAGAATTCTAGTTATGTACCTGTGCTATTGTCTGAGTCCACACTAGCCATGAGCTCCTGAGGTGGCAGTATCCAGCACATACTTAATGGGGTAATTACTGGGATGAATCCTGCTCACTAGCTTCCCCCTAAGCCAGAATAAGTCACATTGCAGGACCCCTGGTGCAGAGAACAAGGTTGACTGGTTGACTTGTGAGTCTTCTGTTGACAGATTCTGTTCCACATGGCTGCACGGGGCCCTTGTGGTTGGTTGGGATCTGTGGTGGCTTCTGAATTAATCACTTCTGCATGAGCCATTTCACTCAGAGCCTGAGGCCGCGGTTCCTTTCTTAGTCACTCCGACCAATTTCGGTAATGGCAGACTTGAAATAAATCAGACA